ACAGGGTCAATGTAAAAAGATTAGGGGCCAAATTCTGCTCTTATTTACATCAGAGTACATGAAGAGTATCTTCACTGATGTCAATGAAGTCAGAGAGAAAGAGATCAGAATGAGTCCCTAGGTTTATGAAGTTTCTTCACTTTGCTCCATTAGAGAGCTGGTATCAATTACCAGTCACGGTAGAAAGGTTTGAAATAACTGAAGAGTTAGCAATTTAATTTGTACTACTTAGCCATTACCTGGATGCCATATGGTATTAAAACATATTTACCCAACTTTCAGCACGTAAATAATCCCAGTGAAGTCAGTGCTTACAACAGCCACTGATAAGACAGTATTAACATCTTGGTCCTTGGTATTTCTGGGCCAAATTTAGGCCCTATTCTGTTTAAAGGCAGTCAGCCATTTATTAATATTGTACAAATCATCAACAACATAGGCTTGTATTCTAACCCTGACACAGAACAAGACAGAGCTTTTTATGTAGATTAATCCTGCCAAGTACTAAAGGAGGGGTGACAGGATCACAGATAGGTTTATTTTAAAATGGTAACTGGATTTCTTTCCTGTCATGGGACAAGTAACTGGGTTAAGGATATCTGATGAGCAGCCAGCAAAAGTATTTAAGATGCAATGGTCACAAACAGTTATTGTACTAACATCAGGATCAGAAGTGAAGTTCATCACAGAAATCAACATTTTAAGTGATCTCCAGAGTTTTTACTAAGAAAACAGCCAGATTACTTTCAATCTTTAAAATTTATGCTGTTACATCTCTCATCTCATTTATATATGATGAGCACAATAATTCTGCATTGCATTTAATATCAAATATATTGAGGAACTAAAGTACCGAGACCACCATCACCAATTTGTTTATCAGTTCTACTTTTAGGGAACAGTATTTGAAATGCCACATTCCTGGCAGCAAGTACTAATTACACAATGTCATGGTAAATATCATGAATATCTGAAACAAGGTCTAAATGGGGGTAGCAGCTGTGCCTCTTATGTTTGGAGCTGTGCCCACTAACATGTAATAAATCACTAGCAATTTATACCCTGACAGCATATTTTATATTGCTTCTGAGACACTAATAGTCACTATCCAGAATGATCATTTAAATGATAAAGTAATTTATGAAGGTTTAATGCTAAACTTTACTGGGAGAGGCCATGCTTGGCTTTCACAGATATCAGCTAGATGGAAAAACGAAGGTTAAACTATATAAACGCACTTTGCAAATGCTCTCACATAGAGCCAGTATGAACTACATCAAAGCCTCTGGTCACTTATTTTTTTAAATTCATGTTAACAGCTAAGGTAAACAGAGAGCCTTAAACAGAATAGGAGTCCATAGCTCCCCCAAACACACAAGAAACAACATAAGTATTTTACATGAGAGGCAAATGGAAGTCATACCATCAGAAAGTCTAGTGAACTTTACAGCCACAATAGATTTCCATATGATTGTGAGTCTTTGTTCTGATATATAAATGGTGAAAGATATTTTGAATGTCAGGTCAGCCAGTCCTACATGTATCAAGCATCAGGTATCACATGAGTGTGAAAGCCACACAAAGAAATAACTTCATGTGGGCCTGGCACCCGTTTGAGTAAAATACCAGATTAAGCAGTTTCGTGGCTGAATTTAGGTAGGGGTGGAATTCTAGAGCCATTTGTATAGGACACAAGTTTAGCATTCTAGCCTCTGTCCTAAATCCTTATTTTAAAAGTAATGTACACAAAAACAGCTTTTAAAAAAAATCAAATCTAGCTAGTCAGCAACAGACCTCTCTTCACACTCTGCATCAGATAATTCAGGGTGGCCTGCTCCCTAATAAAGCAGTAAAGTTTTGTCTGAATTGATCTATTCCACTTCCAAGATAGCAGAGACAGTGACTCAACTTCCCCCTTCAAGATGAGACTTAGGAAAGACAGATCCATTTTCCATGCCACACTCTCTTGAGAAAATTGTTGATACATTTTGCCAATATAGCTCAATCACAGTACTGAGCAATGACTCACTTGTAAGGCAAGTTTTTAATGACAAAAAACTCCACCAGAAACTAGCATACAGTTAATTTGTGACTTAAATCATAAACCTGTCCAGGGGGAAAGGGGAAGTTTAAGCTCAATGTGACACCAGATGTCCAATATTCATCCTGTAAACTAGTTTGCACATCCATAAATTTGTCAATATCTAGGGGATATCATAATAAATTAAAACTTATTAAAGTTAGCCCTGTGTTGCAAAGTACACTTTTATCTCAATCCTGAAATAGCTTATAGCTGCCATTTTTTAACTTATTTCTCCCTGTCATTAACCACATATTGAGCTCCTGACACAATATGTGAAGATATATGAAGGGGCAAATCCTGCAGTATTTATTCAGAGAGAGGTTCCAACAGAGGTGTTCACTAACAGTTCTGTTTGAGTTCTGCCAGAATTGGGACTGTGATGGGTTCGGTCACAGAGACCCCCTTGGGACTGTCACCCGATGTGCTGAAATGACCTCTGAGCCCGTTTTCCCTGCCAGCTTGGGACTCCAGAACCCTGCTTTGTTGAGCAGACACTAGCCTGCTGAAACACAGACCCAGGTCTGGTCCACGCCCCCAAAGCTGCAGACTTTAACCAAAAACTGTTCAACAGTTTACTTGCCTCCAGCACCCAGACGCTCAGCTCCCAATGGGATTCCAAGCCCCAAATAAATCCGTTTTACTCTGAATAAGCTTATACAGGGTAAACTCATAAATTGTCCGCCCTCTACAACACTGATAGAGAGATATGCACAGCTGTTTGCTCCCCCAGGTATTAATCACTTACTCTGGGTTCATTAATAAACAGAAGTATAAAAAGTAGGATTTAAGTGGTTTCAAGTAACAGACAGAACAACGTAAGTCACTAAAGCAAAATAAAGCAAAAACACTCAAGTCTAAGCCTAAGAAACCGATTACAGGTAAAATCTCACCCTCAGAGATGTTCCAATAAGCTTCTTTCACAGACTAGACTCTTTCCTAGTCTGGGCCCAATCCTTTCCCCTCGTACAGTCTTTGTTAGTTCCAGCAGACATCTTAGGTGGAAAGCAGGGGTGTTCTCATGACTGGCAGTCCCATTTGTTCTGGCCCCCCGCCCCCCTTGTATAGCTTTGGCACAAGGCAGGAATCTTTTGTCTCTCTGGATCCCCACGCCTCCTTTTAAATGGAAAACTACCAGATTTAAGATGGATTTCATTACCAGGTGACATGGTCACATGTCACTGTAAGACCTCATTCTTCATTACTCACAGGTTGGCCCACACGTACACAGGAAGGCTTGCAAGTAAATAAACCATCCACAACCAATTGTCCTAGTCAATGGAACCATCAAGATTCTAAACCACCATTAATGGCCCATACTTTGCATAATTACAATAGGACCTCAGAGTTATACTTCATATTTCTAGCTTCAGATACAAGAATGATACATACATACAAATAGGAGGAATATATTCAGTAGGTTATAACCTTTGTTATGATACCTTACAAGAGACCTGTCACACAAAGATATGCTTATGAGTGTGAATATGATGTAACTGGAATATTTCCATAAAACATTGAGTGCAACGTCACAGGGACCTTAGGATTTAACACTATTTGATGAACCCTTGGCCACTTGAAGTTGCAGACAAGCAACAGCATCAGAAGTTCATAGCATTTCTTTCACTAGAGTTCCCAGCTTCTCTCTCTACAATCTAAAGGTGACTTATAAAGACAAACAAATTTAGTTAGTGTCTTTTTTGTTTCTTCATGATGTATACAGAAGGCCTAAAATAGTGGTGTTAGCTTTTTTTAAAAGCTTTCTCAGCTTGTTTTTCAATATTAGAAATTCAGGTTTGTCTACCCTTCCCCCCATAGAGAATTACTGCAGAACTAGCAGGACAACATTTAGATTGCAAGGTCTTCAGGGCAGGGATTGTTTCTTAGTCTATGTATGTACAGCGCTGAGCTTACCGGGGTTTCAAGTTGGGTTTAGGCTTCTAGACATTACTGTAATACAAATAAACTATTATTATTACTACCCATGTAATTTAAGGCTGAGAAAGCTTCCCCCCTCCAGTTGCCTGGTTTTCCAGCGAGACCTCCAGCAAAAAAAGGAAAGACAGGACCTGATAGTCCCAGGGTAAACAAACAAGCAGAAAAGGAACTTATTTAGGTGTCTTGAAGAAGCAAGACAACTTTTTCCTCATTTGCACATCATCTTTAAGTTGTAGGAGTACAAAGTTAACAAAATATAGTGAGTGTAAAGTTGCAAATGCATGCAGCACAATGACTCAAAGGGCTCATTCGTGATTTTGTAACCAGTTAGTGGCAAAAAGAACAGGAGTACTTAGTCTCTAAGGTGCCACAAGTACTCCTGTTCTTTTTGCGGATACAGACTAACACGGCTGCTACTCTGAAACCAGTTAGTGGCAGATAACTAACTGGTTACAAGTAACATTGTTTCCTCACAGCTTCTTTTCTGCCATTGCAAGTAGGTTTGTGCATTTACATCTGCTACACTGCCTAACTGTATTGGTGCATTCTGGGAAACACTACACAGCGCTGATTCTTGCTTCGTGTTTTTTTCCCTAGATCACAAAACTTATTATGCATGTCCCACTACCAAAACAAGCCACACAAATGCAGCAATCTTTAGCAAATAACAAACCTTTTTAATGTGAAAGTATGTAGCAGTATTTAGCAGAATACTATACATTTAGGTGTGGTTAAAAGAGGCTCAAAGATTTTATCTCTTCACTAATAAAAGCAACAATACCTTTTACTCAAAGCCACAGAATGTGTTGGCGGGTGTTTAACTCACTTCCTCCTTCCCCCCATATACATGCTATTTACAGTGAAGTCTGCTTTACAATCAAGTAGGACTTAGTGATCTGGCAGAGAGGTGTAAGTTAATGTCTGAGTATTCTGACTCAAAAATGTTTTACTAAATTAGTTGGACATATCGTGACTTTCTTACCATACACTCCTTTGTCCAAAAGAAGTAAAAATTCATCCACTGCATTCCGCATCTCAGATTCAGTAAGATCGAGAAGAGAAACAACTTTGAAATCCAGCTGTCTCAGCAAGTTGGTCAATTCATAGACATCCACCATTGGAGCTTTCAGCTGAGGGTGATTCCAGTAGCTCATGTTTCCTATTAACAAAGCTACCTTGTCAATTGCTGCAAAGAAATGAAAACATTTTTATACATTGAGTCAAATATTTTTTTTAAAAGATGAGCTATTCTCAAATCTAAGTGCATGTACAATATTTAGTACATTAAAAAAAATGGCTCTGTGCCAGCAAAGAACTCTTCTAGGTGCCTGGTTTAAAATTTCATTAATTTCCAATCACTTGCTCTGAAAAAGCCTGGGAAACCAAATAAGTCTTGCAGTGTGTCCTGAAGGTGAACAAAGTATGTCCTGAAGGTGAACAAATGCATCCAAAGCTTCTTAACTGGCTGTTCTGTCAATAAGTCAGTCACTACTGTACCTATGATTCTCTGCCTGCCTCGAGTTAGCATCTCTCTTGAAGTGCAAGAAAGTAGTTCACCCTCCATAACAGTATTGAAATGTATCTGAATCAGTATTACATTGCCTGTGCCAGTATGCAAATACTATACCCAAGTTTTCTATGCAACCCTATATTCATAGGCACGTAACTTTCCAAAACATTTCCATAATAAATCTTCCATGCTAGATCTCTCCCAAAATGTGAAATTTGGAGGTCTGAGCAAGAATTGCTATAGCGTTTTTAGAGCATTGGAGAGCCTCTAAGTGAGAAGAGAACCCCTTCCTCTCCATTAATAACTTGCTATATTGTTTAGACCAGAACTACATTAAAAATAGCTGAGGTTTGAGAGTTTAATGTAAAAGTGGACAGTACTTATTGAAGACTGATGCCTTTATCGGATTATTCAATCAAAACTAATGTATTTTCCAAAAATTTAAAGCATTTTTGTGCTGAGCACGAACAGATTCTCTCATTAAGACCCAGATCTTGCACTGAGAATTGCATGACAAATTCCCTCTTCCGCTCCCCCAAATACACACAATGACGTCAACTGGACTCCCGCTGCATGCATGAAAAGTCACTTGCAGGATCAGAGTCTAACTTCCATTACCTTCAAGGCCAATGATTCAGTGTGCATGCATGTGCAGCTTGGGAAAGTGCACACCTTCAAAACTGCTTTGGAAGCAACTATCTGGTTTTGTCTGCCTACTGCTTGTTAACCTGTACCCTTTCACCTCCCCAAAAAAGATTCATAGCATCTTTATCATTAAAACTTTTTTTGCAGCTGAAAAGCTCCAAGGCCTTGAATAAGCTTGACCTATTCTACAGCCACAGACTTGCAGTCACTCAATCTGCCTAGCAGGATACCCTTGGAGCCTCCAAAACAGAGAAAAGTATTCGTTTGGGTCCACATTTCACAACATTTGTTCAGCATATTGATAAGACAAATTTAAAGTTTTCAGATGTGTGAATAAAAAACAACCAAGGCTCCGTGGATACCTGTTCAAGTGGCAAAAAAAATTTGCTTCAAAGTCTATTTACTGTTTGGGCTGTTCACAGTTTGAGTGAAAGAGAGAAACGGATCATTTATAGGAGGTGCTATAACTAGCTATGCTACAATATAATGAAAGTCATTTTAGACTTAAAAAATTATACACTTTCAAGGCTTCAATAACCACCTATTTAGATGTTTTGTACAATGTTGTGTCAATGTTGTCCAAAAAAATGCAGTGTTGTCAGCATAAATAGGCTATTCTTACTTAACACTACAAATTAGGAGCTATAAATTAATAAAAAATTGCATGCTATCAAGTCTAATTAAATTGCTTAAACATACACAAGTTCAATTTCCATTTGCTACTGGTCTATTATGCCAGTAGAGTTCATGAATATCTTGGATATGAACTCAATGCTTTTTCTAGAAAGGGTTTAGTGCAAGGATGTTTGAATAAATCCATGTAAAGAGCTTCTAATTAAGGTCATGGAAGCACTAACTCTCAACTATGATTTTAATAGAAGAGGAGGTTGTACCTGGAATTTGTGTATTAGTTGCTAGTAAACTGGCTACCAGAATTAGATCCTATCATACACAATTTAATATCTGAAATCACACCACGTTAAACTTTGGTAGCAAGCTTATTGACACTAGTCAGTGATCATTCAAAACTGTTGATAAAGATTTGAGAGAGACTGAAATTGCATGATTCAACACATAACTTCTGCCCAATAACTGACTGTGATACTGGGAGAGGTACTGGTAACAGGGAAAAATCACAACATTTTTAATGAGGTACTGAGTTTCAACTTGTGCTGGATGTCAAGAGGTATCAGATCCATTTTATTTCTACCGTGTGGATTCTTCTGTATAAACACAAGTGAATTGGCTCAGGCAAAAACAGCAATCAATTTCTCTCTGTAGTGACTTATTATGGCATGGAAGCCTGCCATTATGCACACAGCTTGTATCTTGCTGTTTCAACAAAATGCTTTGACCTTTTATTGTTACAGTCTATGTTTATTCTCTTTCACAAGGAAGGTTTTTAGCCAAAGAATCCAATTCCAATGGACGTTTTCAAGCTACCTCAAAGCCAAATCCCATAAAATGGACAATGGAGTAAGAAATTCCCCTTGTCTAAAAGAAACTAAGCATCAAAGTTGTTGCTTAACCTAGACATTAGGAATTCTAGGACTGTAACAAACATGGCACCAAAGGTGCTATGATGTGTCTATGCCTGTAAGCTATGAGGTTCTTTTAATTGTCTATTTATAGACTTTATGATTTCTGAGAATCAAATGCTGGAATCAGGTTGAACATAGGCATATATTTTGTATCTTCCATTCAGGACACCTAACAATCAAAGATAGACTACTAAGGCAATCAGACTGTCAAAAATACGTAACTTAGAATGTTTGCAATGAAGAGGTAACATGGCCTTTTTTTGGCTGATCAGAGATTTCCAGCCCAAATGCAACGAACCTACACACAAAAGAGAGTACTGAATAAGGCCAAATGGTATGGTTATATTTCACAAGAAGGTCAAGCAAGACAGATTTTACAAGAAGATGGAAGTCCAGATGTGCTAACAGAGTGGTTTCAAGTTAATAAAAGACATGTCCCAATTAGATAGGCCCCTTGTAACGTGTAGAGACCCCCTTTCACCTTCTCTCTCCCCATCACTTATTTTTTCTTTGAAGAACAATCTCTACTTACAAGATTAAAATCACACAATAAAGTTAGGAAACATATTATATCTCTAGTAGGGTTGCCAGGCATCCGTTCACCAGTGCAGCGGGGGTCCCGGGCTAAGGCAGGCTACGTGCCTGCCCTAGCTCAGCACAGCTCCCAGAACAGGCTGCCAGGTCCTTATGGCCCCTGGGAGGCTCCCCAGACTGCCCCTGCCCCAGTGCTGGCTCCGCAGCTCCCATTGGCCAGGAACTGCGACCAATGGGAGCTACAGGGGCATTGCCTGCGGGCGCGAGGGCAGCACGCGGCGCCTCCCTGGCCGCCCATGCGCCTAGGGGCGGCAGGGACCTAAAGCCCACACCCCCAGTCCAGAGCCCATACCCCCACTGCACTCCAACCCCCTGCTCCAGCCCCAGCCCCACCCCCTCTCCCACACCCCAAACCCCTCATCCCCGGGCCCACCCCAGAGCCCTCATCCCCCTCCCACACCCCAGCCCCCTACCCCAGCCCGGTGAAAGCGAGTGAGGGTCGGGGAGAGTGAGCGACGGAGGGAGGAGGGATGGAGTGAGCAGGGGCAAAGCCTTGGAGAAGGGGCAGGGGCCGGGTAGGAATGTTGGGTTTTGTGCAATTAGAAAGTTGGCAACCCTAACCTTTAATAAAGTATGGCAAAACTCATCTAATAAGTGTATTGAAACACTTACCGTGACACTCAAACACTATGTGCGTGCAGTCAGTGCACATATTTCCAGCAGAAGGCATTTGTTGCAGCCAAGGTGTTCATGTACTGACTGAGGAACACCTATTACTATTGTGCTGTTTATATTTATTTAATTAAAAAAAACCTCGTTCCATCTTAATCTGAAGGCATAGGTGATCATGTAGCACAAAGGCAGGCGTGATGGAATACAAGAGAGATTCATACAGTAAGCTATTTGGTGCTCATAAACAGATTTATAACTCAGGTGTCCCACGCTAAGAAAAAAAAATAGTGGAAGACAAAAGTTTTCACTTATCAGACAAACTACAATCACCTTTTGTGTGAAACAATTCTAATTCTACCATCTGAGATTGTCAAACCATTCAAATACTTCACCAACATACATGTTGAGACCACAGACACAAGGAGCTAGAAATTATGAGAACTGAAAGGCAATTCAATACCAATTAATTTTAAATAAAGTTTTCTAACCAAAACACCAATAAGCTGCAGAGATTTTTATGCCTCTCAATATAGCTTTTAAGTATACTGCAGACCTATTGCCCTAGCAATGGTAGAAAAAGGCCACAATAACTGATTTAGATTCAGATGCACATTTCTTGTTCAAGATATACATTATTTATCATGGATATGAAACTACTCACCAGAAGGCCTGTCAGCTGATTGCTCTTGAAAGTCTATTTAAAGAGGAAAAACCATGGATCATCAGTAGTTTCAAATGTAGTTGTGTACATTAGAGAAACAAGTGGTGCATTTGTTTAATTTAAGACAGCTCCCTATTTCAGCTAGTTCTTTTCTATAGCTTGGTGTGGTCTTTATTTCCTTTCTAACTTTGCAGCACAAGTTTTCATTCTTAATGCCTAGCAATATGAGTTATTTGCTGTTATCCTAATTTCCCACCCTACAGCACATTTGCTCTAGTAGGATATGTATGGTGGGGGGTTTTATACCCTGAACCTGAGATGGCAAGGAAATGTGGATTTTGATCTTACAAAACTACGTTAGTATTTTCAATAAAATCTGAAATGCTGTACAGTATATCCTCTCTGATCAGATGTATTGCAAGGAATCAAACAGATCATGAGTTGGGCTATGTTCTATATTCAGCAAGGTTGAGAATTTGCGTTGCTAGAAATTCTTTAAATTTTTATTTTACCACTCGCAGTGGTATGGAAGAGCTAACAACGACATTCAGTGCTGAACAACAGGTGGGTGAAATGCCTAACCCTTTTGTTAACATGCATATATTATGACAACCCTGTCAATAGATTCTCTTGGAATGTAAATTAACTCTTAGCAAAAGTAAACATGTCTTCTGTGTCCAGCACAGGAATTACATGGCCTTTACGATGTGACCTTTTTGGGAAACCAGTGTCTGGGATAATCCCTAATGGAGTAATATTTGAATCTCCAACACAAATAACAAATGTGTATCAAATTAGATTAGTTTGATCTCCAATCTGATTGACACTATATCATCACAACCATTTTTATGTTTGGCAGCCAGACACCTTAACTCAATAAGACTTCATTCTAGCAGCAGATACTCTGCTAAAAACAGCATCACGTTGAAACATCTCAAGTACAAAGATCACATACAGAAAGCTAACAAAAAACAAAACAAAAAAAAAGGATTTATTTTTTACGATTAAGTGACGTGCCGTAGTTTTGCAACTATATAAACTGATTTGCTGGGTTATCTTCAAATTATACTAATTTATTTTAGTGCCCTCGACATGACAGTTAACATTTTCAATAGATATATGTGTAACGCTGGCAAACCAGATGCCTGTTTATGCCAAGGTCCCCTGCCTCATTTGGATACTAATAAACATATAGCGGGAATCAGTCTGGTTCACCTGTGTGTTAGTACTGATGAAATAGGTATTAGAGTTATAAAAATATGAGTAGTGTTTAGGCTTTATTGAATTTTTGTAAATTGCTGCATGCATTAATCTTACAATATGGGATACAGATGATGACATACGTAAGATATTTGAGCATTTGCATTGTAAGCCTCTGTAACTGTGCAAGTCATCAGACAGGAGAGAAACATTAACTAGTGTGAAAAACTAGTCTCCAATAGGACATGTTATCTCCCACCTGACAAAGAAGGTCCATCAACACCATACGAACTATTGTGGAACATCAGAGGACAAAGGACTGTTGATTGCTCTGCTCCCCTTCTCGCCCCCTCCCCATTCCCCATGAAAAGAAGAAATGCAAGTGAATTCCTTTCACCAGCTAAGTTTGCAACTCCAATCAGAAGGGGAGTGGGGAAGAATAAAAAAAGCCCTAATGGAGGAGAAACTCTCTCTTTGCTGCTTGGACTCTAGGGGTGCAAGATTTCTAGGCATAAGCAAGGCATCCCCAGCTGCTTAGTCTGGGTTAGCCCTAAGGGACACAATGATCTTGCTTATTATAAAAGCTTCTATTACCTTTTGAAACTTAAGATAGGAACTCATTTGGGTATCTATGTTTACCTGCTTTAAACTTGTAAATAACGCTTATTTCCTTTTCCCAGTTAGTAAATCTTTAGATAGTTCATTATAGGATTGTCTACAAGTGTTGTCTCTGATGTGAGATCTAAAGTGCAACTGACTTGGATAAGTGACTTGTCCTTTGGGACTGGGAATAACCTAAATATTATTGTGATACCTAATGTAAGGGACCATCTATCACAAAGGCAAGCTTACCTGGGTGGAAAGATAGATCAGAGTCCCCAAGAGCAGTGGTTCTCAAAGCCAGTCCACCGCTTGTTCAGGAAAAGCCCCTGGCAGGCCGGGCCGGTTTGTTTACCTGCCACGTCCGCAGGTTCGGCCGATTGCGGCTCCCACTGGCCGCGGTTCACTGCTCCAGGCCAAAGGGGGCTGCGGGAAAGGCGGCCAGCACATCCCTTGGCCCGTGCCACTTCCCGCAGCCCCCTTTGGCCTGGAGCAGCGAACCGCGGCCGGTGAGAGCCGCAATCGGCCGAACCTGCGGACGTGGCAGGTAAACAAACCGGCCTGGCCCGCCAGGGGCTTTCCCTGAACAAGCGGCGGACCGGCTTTGAGAACCACTGCCCAAGAGGACTGTCTGTGACTCCACGTTAAGGCTGTTATCATGCTTGAGGAGTTTACACTTGATACTTAAATTTTGCCAATTTAATTATAGATTAATTATAGAACTCACAACCAATTTGGGGTTTGTGCCCTGCTTCTTATCAGTCTGTCCAGAGGTTGGTACTCATGCTCTTGAGTGACTGCCAGACAGCTTGACAGTGTGACTGAATCAAAACCCCAGATCTAATACACCTGAACTATGCAAATGAAACTTAAATTTTGCAGCTCTGATCTATTCAGTTTTTAATGTACATTTCAAATCTGAAATTAAAGCTGTTTATTTCAAAGCATGTACTACTTACCAGGCTTTCCAAGACTACTAAACTCTTCTGTAGAGAAATACATAAAAATAATGAAATTACAGTTTTGATAAACAAGAAGCAAAATAAACATTGGTCATAAAAGGGATTAACTATTGTATTCTGTATTTAACAGAAGCTGAAGGCTAGAAAAGCAAGCTCTAAACCTGGACAAATTATTTAAAAAAAAAATATATATATATATATATGTATTTTTATAGTTTAGTAAATTTATCCCTTCGCAAGCTTCCACCACACACACAAAACAAAAAACTACTAGTTGATTTACATCAAAATACGAAATATGATTAGGTACGGTACTCAGATTTCATTATAGTGTCTATATCAGGGAATAGACACAACAGAAACACTAATGGGGAAAAATATATAGAATATACTTCACCCAATTAGTCCATAGACATTCAAGCAGCTTTAATGACAAGTGAGAAAACAAACGGAATCACACATATGAAGATATTTGTTTTTATGAACATTCTAAAATGGCACTATACTAAACAAGAATGTATTTATTTAAAAAAAGAAATTAAAGACATTTCCGGGATGATTTTCAGAAATATCAAACATTCACAGGACTCTCTGATTTTTCATTTCAGGGATTTTAATGGGAGCTGAGGGAAAATTTATTTCAAGTGCCAGGAGACAAAAATCTTCTAGTCAGTTGGGTGAAACTCACACCAAAGCAGGGGGCCCACACAAGACCAATCTGACATGGAAAGTATTCTGTGTAAAGAGCTCAATACTGCAAGGTACTTAGCACCTACATGTTCCATTTACTTTTGGCACTAGGCCCCTTACAGAGGCTGAACTAGTTCATTGGGCCTCATACAAGCTCTGTATACTGGTGAAAAAATGCTTCATGATAGCTTAACATTGCGCTCCTCCCTGTTTCTTCCAATGTATCTGTTAATGTTAGGGCTCTTAAATGATTAAAAACAAAAAAAAAAGAGTCACAATTGCAGTTTTAATCGCAGTTAAACAATAACAACATACTAATTTAAATTCAGCATGGAAGTATGTCCTCTGGAATGCGGGTCAAAGCATGAAGGGGCATACAAAAGTTTCACATATCTGGCACTTAAATACCTTGCAACACCAGCTACAAAAGTGCCATGCGAATGCCTGTTCTCACTTTCAGGTGACACTGTAAATAAGAAGCGGGCAGCATTATCTCCCGTAAATGTAAACAAACTTGTTTGTCTTAGCGATTGGCTGAAGAAGAAGTAGGACTGAGTGGACTTGTAGGCTCTAAAGTTTTACTTCATTTTGTTTGAGTGCAGTTACGTAAAAAAAATTCTACATTTGTAAGTTGCACATTCACGATAAAGAGATTGCACTACAGTATTTGTATGAGGTGAATTTAACAATACTATTTCTTTTGTTTTTTTAACAGTGCAAATACTTGTAATCAAAAACAAATATAAAGTGAGCACTGTACACTTTGTATTCTGTGTTGTAATTGAAATCAATATATT